CATATTATTAAATAAGATTACGTATTTTTTCAGTAAATTGTTTGGAAGTTTTTTAATGGCTATATTTGGTATGTTATCATTACCGGTCGATTTTTTATTTTTCATTTTATTTATTATTTTTTTTATTTTTATGATATTGCAAAAAAATTCGTCATCCAATTCAAATTTAGGATTATCTGATTTATTTTTACTTGAGAAACTTATTGTTGGGACTTCGACTGATTCATCAATATTATTTGCTTCTTTGAATTTGTCGATTGTTCCCTTTATTATTCTGTTTAATTCCTCTCTTTTGTTTGAACCCCTAACCTTGTTGTTTGTTTCAGCGAACTGAGCACCGAGCACATTTAATTTTGATATCTCCTCTGTTATGATATATTCATTATTTACCATCGTATATTCATTTGCTTTTAGTTTCGCAAGATCGACCAGATTTTTATCCTTTTGTGGGATTTTTAAATTTGGCATTTCTACAATTTTATTAGGTCTAAAAATGGGATTTAATTTATGAAACATTTTTTCATTATCTTTTTTTGATATACTTTTTATTTTATTTGACCAATAATTATTGGTATTTTTTTTAAATTGATTTTTTATCTGTCTCTTAATATCAACAAACAAAAGCCCGACCCTTCTCAACAGATCCGAGTCCTTAAGAAAATTATTCTTTAATATATTGTGTTTAATTGTTAATAATTTATTTTTGACTTTTTGCAATTTTTTTATTTTTGGATCAATATAATTATTTAATGTACTAAAATTTTTGTTTTTAGGAGTATTATTTAACAGTTCTTGGTAGATTATTTTTTCGTAATGACTCAGATAAGAATCTATCTCATCTTTTGTCAGGCCCCTGTTTGTTGGTATCTCCTGTATATTATTTAGATTTTCTAGATTTCTTTGAAATTTTTCCCAATTTGTTTTATTGAAATTCAGTCGATCTCGCGCAACTGGTCTTTCATATAGCAAATTGTCACCTACTTCCAATTTCACCGCAAACAATAAGGCGTTATGGTCGCTATCATACGGAATTACTTGTAATTTGTTTTTGTCTATAGCATTTTGAACGTTGACTCTTATATCAAAGAGACCCATATCTAAAAAGGAATTAGCAGCTGGAAAAGTAGATTCTGCTGGTCCCCATAAACGCGTCTTGTATTTAAAATCATTTTTTTTTAGCCACCATTGAAGGTATTGTCCCCTCATATTAATAGTTGAATCACCCCATTCCGTATGCCTAGCGTTCATATCGCCCGCCATTATAAATAAATTGTTACTCTGGTCTAACCTTAACTCTTCGAAGATTTTTGTCATATCTTTCATGAAATCGTTTCTCGAACTGCCTGCTGCGTAAACACTAATAATATATAAATTTCTACTTTTATTTAATTTTATTTTTATTATTGTCATTTCTATGTTTTTTATTTCGTTTATACACTTTAATTTAATTTTTTCAAATTCAAATTTTTCTTTTATGAATATTGCAGTTCCTCCTCCCCTCTCTGCTGCAATTCTATCTTCTCGGACTGTATTATAGTTTTTGAATTTTATATTATGTATTTGTTTCAGTTTAGTTTCGCCTACAAGCGCAATGTCAATGTCGAGTTTTGTTATTGTATCGAATAGTGAAAATCTACGGGAGTTATGTATAAGCGAGTTTACGTTTACTGAAATTAACTTCAATTTATTCAGTTCATTGAATTTGCTGTGTACTCCTCTATTAGTGGTCGCCATTTTTGTTTATTTTTAGTGTTTTGTATAAAAAGTCGATTTTGTTAGTATTTGAGTCTATTTTACTGTTCACTAGTGTTAGTTTGATTGTTTAATACTGCTATTATTTCATTCTTAAATGAGTCAAGGACATTACATATCTTTTCCATACCCAGTATGCCCTGTTCCTCTGTTTTTTTTTGGTCATTATTATTTTCAGTGTGTGTGTAGTGGTTTTCGTTTATTTGTGATTCTATTTGTGCTTGTATAGTTTGCTTTTGTCGAGGGGTTACTACTTCCGCAAATGTTATATTTTGATTGGTATATTTATTTAATTTCTCAATTTTTTCATTATATTTAATTCGCGTTTCTTCGAGTTTAGTTTTTCTTATGTTTTGCGATTCTACAATTTTAGGGCATCCCATAAAGGAGGCAGGGTGTCCATAAAGTTTACAATTTACACAATAAACTTTATCAGTTTCGACCCTATCTTCAGGTGACAATTTGCATTTACCGGGTTCGTGACTCTCTATACACTTGACGCAACGATAATTTCTGTTGCAGTACTTTGATAAGTGCCCAATTCGCTGACACTTATAGCATTGTATTTTAAACCGCACGGCCACTGAGACTTAGTGAGAACTCGGGCTAATCCACTATATATCAATGCCACTGCCGTATATTCTGTATCCAAATAACACATTTATTTGTCGAAATATTTTTTATTTGTATTAAATAAATGAAATATTTAAGTGAAATAAATAAATGAACAGTTTCAAGTAATTCATTATTTTCGTTTCAAATAATTATTTAATTGATTGAAATATTTTTTTATTTGTCTTGATAAAATAGTGTATTAGCTTTGAATAACGAATCATTCGGATTAAATAATCAAGTTTATTAGAATCAATAAAATTAATTTATTGTGTCAAATAATTTTTATTTGCATCAAATATACGAAGTATTTGAGTGAAATAAATAAAAGAATTGTTTCAAGTAACTCATTATTTGTATTAAACAAATCCATTTATTCAATTCAATTAATTATTTAATTGAATCAAATACGATTTATTTGGTTCAAATAAGTGTGATTCAAATAATTCAAGTTATTTGAATCAAATACATATTTTTTTGATTCAACTAAAAAGTATTTGAATCAATTAAATATTTTTCAAATAATTTGAAATATTTGAATCAAATAAATTTTTTTTTCAGTGTAGGCCTATTGTTCATCCGTAGTTCAGCCGAGCCTCGACAATTAGTGCTGGCGTAGTACAGAATTTTTGTTTTCCTAAAGTTCAGACAAGCCTCGGCATAGAAAAAATTTTATAACACTCTTTTCCAACATTGTTTTTATACTTAAAAAAATCCTTTCTTAGGATTTATATATATATATATTATAAATATAAATTAATTGAAAAAAGTTAATATTTATTTTTCAATTATTCATTCCTTATTTTTAATAATTTTAATATGTAATAATAATTTAACATAATTTTCTGGTTTTGTTAATAATAAATTATTTAAACTAATTAAAATTTTTATTTGAACTATACTTTGGTTTTTATTAAAGTTTTTATTATAAATAAGAAGTTATTTAATATTTAATAATTAAAATTTTAGTTTAATTTGTTTTATATAAATTTATTTAAATTTATTTAATTATTTCTAACGTATCACAACTTTTTTCTCATCTTTAATTTAATAAATGTAAGTCTGGAAAATCAAAACGTTATTGCATATACGCGCGTTGTTAGCATTGTGGTTAGAGCGTTATTTCTAGATTCCAATAATTAATTGTACTAAAATTTGAAAATCTCCCAGATAAAAGTCGTGATCGCACATTGCTATGCAAAAATGCTAGCTTATCTTCAATAGCGCAGGCCTACAAAAGCTACAAAATTTTGGATTTTGTCAGACCCACAAATCAGACCAGTCATTTCTAATGAAAAAAAATCGAATCGAAATAAAAAAATGGATTTGAAAGGTGAAATATTAAATATACATACTTATCACTTTATTGTAAAATTTGAACAAAAATTCAAAATAGTATTTTGTTGATTTTATAGACACTCAAATATTGACATAAACGGCCTTTTTCAAACATTTAGGTTAGAATATCTCAGAATCCTGACGTAATGACTGGTCTGGTAGCTGTAAATAATTTTGTATATCTTATATTTTATTTTCTTAAATTTGAATAATTTTTTAAATAATAAAAGTTTTCTACCTTTAATTATATAATAATAATGCCCACTAATTTTTACTTAAATGTTTTTATAAATTTTGTTTATTATTGTAAAATTTAATAATTATTTAAATTAATGGAAAATGATATTTATCTTGCTAAGTAAAATATACACGGAAAAAAAAGTTCCCAGATATTTCAGGAATTATTTCCTAACTCTTGGATACATGGTAACAGCTCTGAACTAGCGACGAACATTCAATGGTAATCAATGAATGTTTGAAAGAAATTCGGGAACTGTATTAGAAAAAGCTGTAAATAGTCCAATAGACTTTTTTTCATTACTTTCTCATGTAAAGTTCATGGCACTGGCCGCAACTGTTTCTGAAATTTTCGGGAACTCGTCAAGGAATCTTGGTGCGCAGAAACTGTGCGCACCAGTCTCAACAAGACTCACAGTCAGTAAGACTTGCGTGCCTTATATATTTATTTTATGCTGAGGTATTTAACGTTCCTGTTTAGCTCAGTTGGATAAGACGCCGGACTTCTATTCCTCGGGTACGCGAGTTCTGTTCCAGCCGCCGTCGATTTTTCTCTCATATGGTTTTTTCTATTTCAGAAACTTAATAAAAAATAAAAATTGTATGTGACCTTCAAGGATAAATGTGTGTGTGTGTGCGGACGTGTCAAGGAGGGGAAGTGGGAGGGGGGAAGCAGAATCCATTTTTTCTTGCATTCGCCTAACTTTTCGATTTTCTTGAACAGTTCCCGACTTTTTCAAGAACAGTTTGCCGAGAAGTGGTGAAATAGTTATAATTTGTAGAGAAATAGTAAATGACATATTTAAACGAGGCAACCTTTAGTTCTCTGTGAACTACCCGCCGTATCCAAGAGTTAAGAACGAAGTTCCCGAATAATCTTCGAACTTTTTTTTTCCGTGTACATATTTTTTATGATATTATAATTGAATACTATGGAGATGCACCTGAGTGCTGATGACCTAAAAAATTCTAACTTTTGCAAAACAAGAACCAACAGATGTTTTATACTGTAAGGAACATAATTTCATGAAATAATACTGTATAAATTTTTTAAACCGTAGATTGGATTCGAAAAGACATGTTCAAAAGTATAGTTTAATACTAATGGATTTTGCTTATTTCAAGTCAACGAATCTTTACGAAGAAAGGATTGAGAAAGATTTCGTGAGTAGTAAATATTCACTAAAAACCAATAGTACTTATGTTTTTACTTGCAAATAATCATATGTCATTAATTACAGAATTTACAATCTTTGGATGAAGAATTGCGGAATAGCTATTCTCACATTCTTCTTAGATTTTATCTAGCTTTCGAGAGCATTCATAAGTACATTACAGAATTAAATGCTTTTGTTGACGAACTTGAGGAAGGAAGTTATATTCAACAGTCTGTAGAATCCGTAATGTTGAATGAAGAAGGGAAGCAATTAATGGTATTTTATTAACGTTTTATTATCTTTCAAGCTTTTTTCGCTAAAACATTGCTTTAATAGTAGTGTGATGAACAAGTTTTTATATTGTATAGTTATATTTTTATCTTTATAATACTGTTTGAAACGATTTGATATGAAAGATAGTTTTACTATTACTTAAATGACCTTTATTCGTATCATATATTTACCCATAGGTGCGAATTTAGGTTGGCCGCCAGAGTTTGAAGGTTGGCCCAAGGTTGGCCTAACTTTGGCAAGCGAAGTTTTGGTTGCCAGAGTTTGCCCAACTTTGGCAAGTACTAGTGCCCACAGTTGGCCCGACTTTGCAAGCCAACCATTAAATGCAGAGTTTAACCAACCGTCGGGTCAACTTTGGCGACAAAGGTTGGCACAACTCATCAAAACGCAGTTTAAAAGACTTTCAGTTTCGGTTGGCCGAACTCTGGGCCACGGTTGGCCCGACGGTTGGCAAAACTCAAGAAAAGCAGTATAATTGACTTATAGTTTTTTGGTCGGCCGAACTCTGGGCCACGGTTGGCCCAACGGCTAACAAAACTTTGTGAAATGCAGTTTAAATGACTTAAACTTTCTTGGTTGGCCGAACTCTGGGCCACGGTTGGCCCGACTGTTGCAGCTTTAATATACATTTTGCGTTATGCACTCCCATGTGAGCGTAGCGTAGTGGTCAGTGTATAAGTCTTCGGTGCGTTAGGTTAGGGGTTCGATCCCAGAGAGCGTTAGATATTTTCGAAAATGTATACGTATGAGATTGTGTTTAATAATAATAGGTAAAGGTTATATCTGATGTTCCCGCTAATAATAACCTGTTAATTGTTTAAATAATTTAGTTTTTTAATAATTTTTTACCTTTGGCTGTTGAAGTTGGCCAAACTTTGAAAATTGTGGTTGGCCCAACTTACGCATCTAAATAAATAGTGAAAATACGACTGAGTGATAGAATCATCTCTACTCTTACGCATCTAAAGTTGTGCAAACTTTGGCGTCAGTCTTTGGACCAACCATTGAAATGTATAGTTGGCACAACATATGCATTGTAAGTTGGGCCAACTTCTTTATGAGTTGTCGGGCCAACCATCGTCGCCATTAGACGGCGAACCGTTATCATCTGTATGGTTGGCCCAACCTCTGGCACGAGAAGTTGGACCGACTTTGTAAAAGTTGGCCCAACTATGGGCCGACCAAAAAATCGCACCTGGGTATTTATTTAGTGCATAGACGGGACATAGCCTTTTGTACATTAGTGCTTATAAGACTAAATTCATCTACAATGGTAATAAAAAATATAACAACTAACATCTAGGCTGGCTCAATATTATTAACATTCTATATTATTCTACGTAATGCTGAAGTGAATCTTTGTAAATTATTATGAAAAAAATTAACATGATCAGAGATTGTATTAGCTTCTCTACTAATCCTATTAATCAATTCATTATTTCCATAATTTCTAGTAAATCTTGTAGAAACAGTTAAATTAATCGTTGAAAAAAGAGCAGGACATTGAATAAAACCATTTAAAATTTTATATAAAATTACTAAATCGGTATAAAGAAATATTGATATTATTTGTTTTTTTGTAAACAATTATATATAGTATATTACTTTCATGATTCTGAGTCCTTTTACAATATGTAAATAATATAATTTATGTAAATATATAATAGGTATATGTAAATAAGAACAAAGCTTTGATTTTATCGTGGCTTACGTTCGCCGGGTTAAACTAATGTTCTTTTGAAAATTACATGATAAAAAATTAGAATTTAAATTAATTCCAGTGTGAAGCAATTTATTTATACGGAATTATGTTACTTTTGGTCGACTTTTACTTCGAAGGGCCTATCAGGGAAAGGTTGCTTGTCTCCTATTATCGTTATAATGCCCACAGTTCATCATCCACACGAGTCGATGATGTTTGTATGCTTTTGAGATCAACGGGATTTGTAAAATCGCCTGGAAAAAGAGTGCCAAACTATCCAGAATCATTTTTCCAGTAAGTCTTTTTAAATTAAATATGTGACGTACATTTATTTTTTAAATGTTAAATATTAACATTACAATAATATTAAATATTAAAATGTCCACGCAAAGAAATATTACAAAAAATGTTACATTACAGCGACATTACATGGTAAACGGTGGGTCTCCACTAACTTCAACCTAAAAGCGCTTGCCCATCTTGGTTCTTTTTTTATTTTGTTCTTAAGATGTCGCTTTATGATTTTTCGTCTAAAGTATAAAAATCAGTATTGCCGTTTTTGAAAAACCTTACTTTTTCTATTTTTTAAGAGGTTAATCAACATATTTTTCGAAAATGTGTTCAAATAAGTGCCATATTGATTCCAGTCATTTAGAAAAGCTTCTGAAAGCAGGTTCTTAGTGTTAACAATTGTGCAGTGACTTTCACCCATAAAACTTGATGAAAAACTGAAAAATCGGTATAAAGTTTAAATTTTTGAATATTTCTTTCAGCAGTTCATACAAACATAAAAGTATCTATTGTGACGTTGCAATTTTTGCAAGTCATAAAATTGCATTTTTTTATAGGGGCTTTGTAGATTTTGTGAAAAATTATTACACGATTTTTTAAAAAACCTTTCATAGCGTTAAAATAGTATATTGTGCAACAAGTACAGAAAGAAGCTGTTTCCGACGAGTGTGAAGTTTGCTGCTCCGTGCGAAGCAAGGGCATCAATTTGCATGAGGTCGGAAAATCTTCTTTCGTACGTGTTGCACACAGTTCTTTGTGCAACACCTTATGGCTTTGATAAAAAAAACTGTTTGGAAACGCTAGTTAACGCCAACCTACATACTGTTTAGCAAGGTTTAGAACGTATGTTACCGCACGTAATATACGTGGTTTTCTACGTGTATATTACTGTAAAAAAACAGGTATGCTATTAATAGAAAACGAATACCTATGTATATCACCAAAAAAACTCGAAATTTTCGGAACCCTGCTGTTTAGTACCCTTTTATGTACTTTGTCTCACTAGTGCAGCAATGTACTGTTTTGCGCCTACTTTACAGGCATGCAAAGTAATGCTTTTCTTACAGGTGTTGCACAAAAATACTTACACTACCGGTCAAAATTGAGAGACCACCCATTTTCAGGCGATTGTAAAACGTTTTAAAACACAAAATGTATTAAAACTAAAATTATTTTCTTTTTATTTTTTGAAAGATGATAAAATTTTGAAAAGAACAAGATCTTTTAGAAGTCATTTGGCCAATATTATATTTAGATATTTTTAAAAAATCCTCATTTTCAATGTTTCACAAAAATTTGAATAACTTCTAAAATAATGGAAGCTTTTTGATGATCCTAGGCTTATTTTAAAGGTCATTTGCTACACTATAAGAATTATTTATAGGCATTAACGTATAATTTTTTTCTTAGAAAATGCAGACCTTCAAACTTAGACCAAAAAAATTCAAAAAATTTGGTACAATTTTTCTGTACTAAAAACTATTCTAGAAAATATATAAAACATCATATGGTGTAGAGTTTTCAAGAAAATTTATTTAAAAAAATACGTTTGAATTTTAAAAATTATTTTTCTGTTAATAAGATTGTTTCAAATTTTTTGAATTTTTTTGGTCCAAGTTTGATGGCCTGCATTTTCTAAGAAAAAAATTATACGTTAATGCATATAAGTAATTCTTGTAGTGTAGCAAATGACCTATAAAATAAGCCTAAGATCATTAAAAAGCGTTCATTATTTTAGAAGTTATTCAAATTTTTGTAAAACATTGAAAATGACGATTTTTTAAAAATATCTAAATAAATTATTGGCCAAACGATTTCTGAAAGATGTTGTTCTATTCAAAATGTTATCATCTTTTAAAACATAAAAGGAAAAAAATTTTAGTTTCAATAAATTTTATGTTTTAAAACGATTTTCATTCGCCTGAAAATGGGTGGTCTCTCAATTTTGACCGGTAGTGTATACAGTCAACTCTCGATAAGACAAAGCGCGATAACTCAAATTTTTCGGTAAGTCAAAGTAATTCTTGGGTCCCGTTCATTCCTTATAAGCATTATTAACATTTGATAACTCAAAGTTTTTTCGGTCTCCCTTCGAGTTTGTCTTATCGAGAGTTGACTATATTTACTTTGTAATGTCAAAAAATTAACTTATTTGTTGCTGAACTAAACAAAATATTGTAAGTACAAAATACTTTATAGGGAGTCGTCCATAAATTACGTAAGATATTTTGAGGGAAGGGGTGGGTCTGCTAAATCTTACGAACCGTAGAAAAAATGGCGCTAATGTATGTAAAAAATCTTACAAAGGGGGGTGGGTGGTCAAATTTTCCAAAAAAGTGACTTACGTAATTTATGGACGGCCCCTAGGGTAAATGTACCAATTACCATGGCAATAACCAAAAATATTGCCTAAAATGCGTAATTTATTTATGGATATAGGGTAGATGCACCAGTTTTGGCCACTTTAAGGAATATTCCTGATTTTCAGGACATCTGACCTTATTAACAGTTGTCATGCATAAAAAATGACTGACACTGTTCGTAAGTAAAACTATTTTGAAAAATGATTGGATTCGCTTAGAATTTATTACTCTGGGGGTTTCGCGGTTGCTAATTGCAAATATGATGTCAAAATAAAAAATCTGTGGTTAGATTCATAATCAACGAGCCCGACAATCCTCAAGTAACGAGTTTTAGGCAATTTGAATCGATTTTTAACAAAGTAATCCGACATTTTGAATTTTGAAAATCTGACCACATATTCGTAAGCATTCTTAAAAATAGCCGATAGCAAAAAAGTGGACTTAAAAGTAGTTTCCTTTTAAACTTCAATTTACCCTGCAAGTCAAAATAGTGACTAAAATAAAGCTTTCTTAAATACTTGAAAGTAGTAAATAATACTGTTCAAATTTATTTTTCTATTGCTTATAAAATTATAGTTATTAACTATATTTTATAAAGAAAAAATGTTTAGAAAAAGATATGCATCATAATTCTTGTCAGAGTTTTACACATAAAGAAAATCTGGTTAATTTGACTACTTTTTAACCCAAAAACCTCCAAATGCCAACTTTTAAGTAAATTTGTTTAATTTTAAATTTTTTCCTCCACATTGAATCCGCAATTTTTAATTTTTAGAAACTGACTTCAGATTCGTAATCAGCGACCCCAAAATCCCCCGAGTGACAACTTTCTAGCAAATTTGTTTAATTTTTAATTTTTGTGTCTGACATATTGGATCCACTCGAGGATCCACTATTTTGAATTTTTAAAAACTGACACGAGATTCGTAATCAGCGACCCCGAAAGCCCCCCGAATGACTATACTTTTAAGTTAAGTTGAATAATTTTTAATTGTATCGTACGCCATAGTGGATCTACCATTTTGAATTTAAAAAAATTTTTAAATCTGACTCCAGATTCGAAATCAGCGTCCACGAATACCATAGGTACTATACCTATTGGAAATATTTTTCAATTGTACTAATTATGGGACTGAAAGGGTTAAACGAAAAGTTACGGTTTTTTGTCTTTTGGACAAACCTGTACACGGACGCACGTGAATAATACACTTCAATATATTTTTCTCATAGCCAGCTTTGGTTTCTAGTAGACTAAAACAACGAGAAACTTTAATAAGAACAGCTCTCTATAAAATTTAAAAAAGAGTAAAAAACCAAAATTTGTGAGATTTTCCAAAACTTTAAGGCTCTAGGGGCGACCGTAAATATTAACCGATCAAAAATCAATTTAACACTGTTCAATACACGGAGAGAAATTTCTATAAATATTTACCGTGCTGCCACCTGAAACTGTGTTCAAAGTGTATTTCTGGTGCCTCTACAATCTGTAATGCAAAATTGTAGAGGCACACCGAAAAAAATGCCTAGGACCCGTATACCAGGAATTGACTAGGTTTCCTAGTTACGAGAGGAGCCAACTATAGAATCCTGGTCAAATTAATAAGATTCAAGCATAGTTAAAGTGACCAGGAAAATTAGTCGATGTAATCAGGAAAAAATAGTCAAATTGACTAGGAGAATAATATTAGATTTACACTGTGTATCATAATTATTTGAAATTGCTAATCAAATTCTTATTATCAAATAAAAGAGAAAAACTAATTAAAAGAAAAAAATTAATTATTGTATTTGAACATATTTATATTTGACTTTGTATTTATATACCTTAGAATTAATTTAAACTTATGAAATAAATATTTGACGGAGGGGGGACGCGAACACCTGAACCTAACGAATACGCACTTTGAAACCCGGAACGATAACCACTACACTAAACACGACTTGGTATTTTAATTTTTTAATAGACACTAGATTTTCGAGTCAAAATACAATACTTAATCAGATGATGTTTTATACATTTCGAGTACACAATTTTATACATTTGTCAAAAACTATTTATTTTTAATTATTTATGACATTCAAATGAAAATAAATTTAAATACAGTAGAACCCCGGTTATCCGAGCTCGCTTTATCCGAGGTCTCGGTTATCCGAGGTCACGTCAGAAAATGCCAGTCCGCATAATCCGAGTTGTCTCTCAAGCCTAGTCCGCGTTATCCGAGTTTTGTCGATGAGTTTATTCAATATATCGGTAAAGAAATTTCTATAGAAAATTATTGTGCTGACACCTACAGAGAAATACAAAAGGCTTTACCTCATCTTTTTTTCTGTGCTGTCTGCTTCTTGTACATATTTGTTTTTGTTTGTAGCATAATATTTTTAATTCAAGTCATTAATTAAAGTCATTAATTCAAGTCACAATATGTCTACATTAAAACGCAAGAAAGTTTTGATAACGATTGAAGAAAAATGGGAAGCTTTAAAACGTATAGACAAAGGTGAAACACTAAAAAAAATTGCAGAAGAATATGGTGTAGGAGAAGTCACTGTTGGAGACTGGAAGCGTAATCGAGATAAAATTGAACAGTGGAAAACGAAAAAAACTTTTTCTCCTTCTTCACGAAAAAAACGTTGGCATCT